ATCAAACCCCTACATCAGGCAGTTTCTGAGTTTGTCTCTTATAATAATATATTATAAACTATATAGACATATTTTTAAAAAATGAATAATATTAATGATATATATATATATATATATATATATATGTGTGTGTGTGTGTGTGTGTGTGTGTGTGTGTATATATTTCTTTATATATATATATTTAAATTTATATATAAATTTATATATAAATAAAAATAAAATAAAAGATATTTAAAAAATATTAATAAATAACATAAAAGCATCTCAATTATCCTAAAATAACACTGAATACAATCACAGCCATCAAACCCCTGCATCAGGCAGTTTCTGAGTTTGTGTCTCACCTGTCTTCATCTGCAGTTGAGACCGCAAAAGCACCGGCAGCGCCGTCCTGCCCGAGAGCCGCCGCAGCATCAGACGCAGCCGGCCCTGCGAGGCCTGCCATGCCTCCTGCAGCCAGCCGTGGCAGTGAGAGCAGCGGGTGGTGCTGCAGCAGGAGTCGCTGCGCATCTTCCAGCTGCGAGGCCGTCACATACGCGGGGCCCGCCGGGAGGAGCGGGGCTCTCAGCAGCAGCGGCTGAAGGTGGCTCAGAGCGGCAGATGAAAACAGCTGGGCTCCAGTTTGGTCCGGGCTGATGCTCATCTGTGGGCCGGGAACCTGAGGCCTCGGAGACACGGCCACCGGAGGAAGCCCTGGCACAGCTCTGGGTGACACTGCACTCTGAGCTGGAGGAATCTGAAGAGGTTGAGCTGCGGGCTGGACGCTTGCCGGCCTCGGGGTGTATTCCACCGGAGGAAGCGCGCTCTGGCTGACGGACACCGGAGGTTTGGTGTTAGCAGGGTAGCTGCTCTGGGCCTCTACACTGTAGGGTCGAACCGAGGCAGATGAACTCTCAACACCCAACAGAACGGAGGGTTGAGGAAGCAGGTGAGCGCCTGGGTCTTGAGCGTGCAGACCGGGGCAAACCTGCTGAACATCTCCTCCGCCGCTCAGAGTGCTTCCGGAGGAGCTGCCGCTCGTGGTCTCGTGTTCGGACTGAATGACGCTCTCCACCGCTCTGTGAGCGACGGCCGCGACGTCTCCAGCCGGGGCGTCTTTTTCGTAATACTCCGTACAAGTCCAGCGACCCTTCCGAAACGGCTCCGTGTTGGAATCGAGCTTCACCACCCTGAAGCGAGAGGCGGCGGTCGCCGCGCTCGCGGTCGGAGGATTTGCGGGTGCAACCGGCATCACGGTGGGGACCGGAGCTCTGGCGGCGTCCGGTACCGGTGCAGCGCTGTGGCTCAGTGCCGCTGATCCGCCTGCCTCCGCAGCTTGGACGGAGCGCCCGCTCGAGGCGGGGATTGCTGAAGGAGCCGCGGGTCGTCCAGTCTTGTGATGATGGTGGACGCCGTTGACCAGGTACCCCTGCTGCATCACCGGCTCGTTGGGCGACGTGACTCCGGGCGTCTCGCCCCCCAGCAAACTATTCAGCGTCTCCTCCGACGAGCTCCTCTCAGGGACGCCGGTGTCCGTGGCCCGGGAAACCGAGACGTCCAGGATGTCTGACGAGGACAGGTCCTCGGTGTGCGACTCGTCCATGTCGTCGTAGCTCTCCGTATCTTCGGCGATGCTGTTGCTGGCGCTGGCGGAGGACACCTGCGCGGGCAGGACGCTGGTGATCTGGAAGCCGCTCTTCTTCTTGAGCTGCGCCCCGGCGGGCTGGAGGCTCAGGCTGAGGCTGTGCGGCGGGGGATGAGGGGACGTCTGCTGGTCATCGGAGCCGAACACTGACGGGTGGGACATCCTCCTGCTGCCGGGCGACTCGCCGGGGGAGTCTGAGTGATGCATCTGAGAAATTCTACGGTAAACGGTGTACTGAATCTGATGGACACACTACAGTCCGTGCAGTGACGTCGTTAGGAAACCGCGTATAGTCCCCATTTAAAGAGTCTGACAGCTCCTCCAACAGACGCTCAACGAGTGTTTATGCTAAATAATGCAGGCTAGCTCCTGGTTAGCACATCAAACGCGGCTACTGGTTAACGGACAGCTAGCTCAGTCCACCAGCAGCGTGTGTCCCGACAGAAAAGCGCGTAAGTGTCAGTGACGGCTGATAAATGAACAATAACAGACGGTCGACATCACCTCAGCGCTGCAGACGCTCTTCCGAACTCCTGATGTGACTGAATACGGACTTAAATCGGGGCTTAAATCCGTCCTACGCCGCTTTCTGCTCTCTGGCCTGCGTGAGGATGCTGGAATGGCTTCGTTCGCAGCTTTGCTGTCTCATCCCGTCGCTGTCTCGTCACTACCGAACGCTGTTAGCACGCTAACCGACGAGCTAGCAGCTGCGGTGACGCCAGCAGGGGGCGGAGCCGCGGCGCGCAGGACACGCCCAGCGCTGATCCGGGATCAGATGTCTCGCGGTTCCGCGGTGGAGACGCGGCGGGAGCGTCTGATCTCAGAGCGGCTGGAGGAGACACTGAGGACCGGACGAATGCTGATACATTACGGACAAACATTCAGTAGTTTTCAATAGTTAAATTATTATTTTTATTTAAAAAATGGTACTATATAAACGTTTATTTTAAAATTAACATTTTATGTAAAAAAAATATTAATATTTTTTACATGGACTTTTATAATGATAATTGTTTCAAGTGACATTAAAGTAATAATATTGCAGCGCATCTGTAACGTAATTCTAAAATGATATATTTTGAAGCTTTTTATCATTTTTTTTTACATGGACATTATGACAAATGTTAATTATAACATTTTTGTAAAATTAAAATCAGATTCTGATTTAGTTTCTGATTTAAATTTACAAAATGGTAATTCATTTTCACGTCGACTAATTAACCTTTTTGTAAATAAACCTCTATACCAGGCATAAATAGTTAATGCGGTAAATGATGCTGTAATACTCTATTGTCTAGGGCTTTTACTTATACTTACATATAGTTAAAAAATACAAAGAGGTTTGCTCAGTAAAATGAACATTCAAAGAAAGATATCTGTATTCAGTTTTGTGGGTAAGATTTTACAATTAGGTTCCATTAGTAACTAACATTAACTCATTAATCCTTGATAGTTTTATTTAAAAGAATTAAATATTAACAGATACAACTTTTTAATAATGTATTAGTAAATGTCGGAATGAACATTAACTGATTATGATTTAGATGCATTTTTCATTATTCATGTTAACTATTGTTAATGGAACATTACAAAAATTACCATTTTGTGGACAAAGACAGAAGTGAGAACAAATCCACAGCCCGTAAAGTTCATATTTATTTAATTGCATAATACAAAGGCACTATTTTGTCAGGATTAGCAGCTGACACGCATGATCTTTAGACTAACATTAAATAATCACAGATTCACACACACCGCTTTATTTACTGCATCTGAGAGAACTACAGTCAGAACATGAGCTCAAAATACAGATCAAACTAATTCATATCCATTCATTAGTTATGAGTCTTTTCTTTTGAAAGGCCAAACACATGATTAGTAAATAAAAATAACAAGTGGAAGAAAAAAAGGTTTCTGAGCATCTGCCATCAGGAGGACTCGTCACACACTAAGCGCTGAGCAAACAGCTGCTGGAACACGCCGCGGCGCTCCGGACTCTCGTTCACACGCGTGTTTTCACCAGCGCTCGTGTCACAGCTGGTCTCGGAGCGCTGCTGTCTGTCTCCACTGAGGTCCTCATCTGATGCTCGCTCAGCGTTTGTGTTCACAGACACACTGATCTCACGAGAGTCTCGAGCAGCCAGACCGAAGAACCCGCTGCGCACGATGAAGCGGACGCACTGGAGAACCACGTTCCTCTCGTGACGGATATCAGGAGCCAGTAGCTGCACGACAAACACACACATTCAGACGAATCATGATGTGTAATATTGTGAAATATTATTATAATGTTTTCTATGTGAATCTCTGTTAAACTGTCATTTATTTATCAGCATTACTCCAGTCTTCAGTGTCACGTGATCTTCAGAAATCATTCTAATATGCTGATTTGCTGCTCGAGAAACATTTCTGATTATCATCAATGTTGAAAGCATTAATATTTTTGTGAAAACTGTGATGCATTTTATTTTTCAGGATTCTCAGATGAATAGAAAGTTCAAAAGAACAGCATTTATTTCAAATAGACATCCTTTGTAACATTATACATGTCTTTACTGTCACTTTTGATCAATTTAATGCGTCCTTGATGAATAAAAGTATCAATTTCTGTCACAAATAAAAAGAGCCTCACAAATACTTTGTGTAAGAAAGCAATTTGAACATTCTGCTGAATATCTCATTTTGTGTCCACTAAAGAAAGTCTAAACACAGGTTTAGAACAACATGAGACGGTGAGTAAATGATGAGAGAATGTGTGTGTGTTTGTGTGTGTGTGTGTGTGAGAGAGTGTGTGTGTGTGTGTGTGTGACTGTCTGTCTGTGTGTGTGTGTCTGTGTGTGTGAGTGAGTGAGTGAGTGAGTGAGTGAGTGAGTGAGTGAGTTGTGTGTGAGTGAGTGAGAGAGTGTATGTGTGTTTGTGAGTGTGTGTGTGTGTGTGTGTGAGTGAGAGAGTGTATGTGTGTGAGTGTGTGTGTGTGTGAGAGAGAGTGAGAGGGTGTGTGTGTGTGAGTGTGTGTGTTCACTCACCATCTCTAGAAGTGTTGGTCGATGTCTCTGTGTTTCAGCAGGTTTAAAGGTTTTACCTCCTCGTCCTCCTCTCACCCCGCGACCACGACCGCGTCCTCTGCCTCTGCCGGCCGGGGCATGATGGGATTGCTGTGGTGTGTGTGTGTGTTTCTCCTCGTGCAGCGCTGGGATCCTCTGGACAGGAAGTGGATGAGGATTCAGGAGCGTCTTATTCTCCTCTAAAGCCTGACTGACTCTCAGCACTGGAGCGTCTGTGACGGAATAAAACGTAAGAAATATATGCAGTGTTTCAGCAGCAGGGCTTTAATTAGCACAGAGAGCAATATAAAACATCAAAACACATTTTATTTTTATTTTTAGCCAAACTATTCTTTTAAAACTGAATAATGCACTCTGAATCATTTTACACCATATCAGCATCAGACTATAAGACGATATTAAAGTATTTTTTACAAACAAAATAAAAATAGATAAAAAGAACAATTATACACAATCTTTCAATTTGATAAAAATTCTAATATTTTCTTTGTACAATGCATTAAAACATTGATATATCACATGATGCTGTATTGCAGTACAGAATTTGTATCTGGATATTTAGTGTAATTGTTATTTATTTGACTGATAACTAGAATAGTGTTAACACTGAGCCCTGCTCATCATCAGGACCGAACTCATACCGTCTGTGTCTCCTTCGCTCTCGCTGGAGGTCATATCGTCGCCGTAGCTGGACATCAGTGACCCGAGGGCAGAGGTCACGCTCTTGGGGGCGACAGTGAGTCCAGTCTGCTTCTGCTGAACAGACTCGTCCTTATCAGACTCTGAAAGAACACAAACAAAGTCTGTTTGACTGAATGAAGCACAGTTCTGCATCACATCATCAGCAGCAGAGAGCTGAGACGGACCGGGGTCACTGCAGACGAGAGCCGCCAGAGGATCTCTGTCCTGATGTGGCCGCTTCAGATCCGTCTCAGAGCTCGTGTGATGACGGGACCCTTCACATCTCCAGCGGTCAGATCCTCGTCCCCTACCGCGGCTCCTGATGCGACTGCACACAGATCACATTCAAACTCACTTAAACATAATGCAGTGAAAGGAATAGTACACCAATGATCTGAAACTGTGCTCATCCTCAGGCTGTCCGAGATTAGGATGAGTTTGTTTCTTCATCAGGTTTGTAGAAATGTAGCATTGCATCAGTGTCTCAGCAATGGATGACAGCACATTTTCAATGTTGGGTAATGATAGGAAGATCAGAAACGCACCCGAACTGAGCCGTCTCCAGCACGTCTCCTCGCTGCTCCTTCATCTCCATAAGCTTCAGCTTCTTCTCTATGTTTCTCAGCGTTGGGTAGTTTCTACACATATGAAGGAATTTAATAACGACACTATCGTCTTCCGTTTACAGCTGAAAGTTAATTTTGCATCATTTTCCCGTTTATTTCTATGAAGCTGCTTTGAAACAATCTGTATTGTAGAAAGCGCTATAGAAATACATGTGACTTGGCTTATGTTCCATGAAAATGTTTTTTTGTTCACTTGAATCTTTTTCCTAATTATTTACAAAACTGTTTGCACATTTGAGTAAACGTCCGTCTCACTTGCGTCTCTCCTCTCTCCATCTGGCGATGTCCTCTGCAGTGTCCAGTTTGATCCTCTTGGCTCCTGGAGCGTGATTCTGCAGGAGAACAGCAGCGTCACACATTCAACTTTAAACATTTAAGACGCGTTCACACCAACTATAACGATATATAACTATATTAGTGTCCAAACCAGTGGATGACAATGTTCTGTTTATTATAAACACACTGCAATTTAGTGTTCTGTCGCTTTAAATGCTCGAGCTCTTTAAAGTCGGATGGATTCTGATTGGCTGTCAATGTTTTCGGCATTTTTAAAAACGCTCTGAAAGTGATTGCAGTGATTGTTCCTCGGTCTCATCATCATTATTGTTGTGGACTTCTCTTAGAGACCTGTGATGTTCAGCATGAGCTTCTGAAGGGGACACTCACGTTTCTCCAGTGGATCTTCACCAGCTTCTCGTGTGCAGTGAAGAGACAGTCTTCAACAGAGCACTGCAGACACACAGAACGAGCAGAAGAGCACTAATGAGACGCAGTACGTCACAGACGTCTGAAGGACAGCTGCATGATCACATGAACACATGAACGAGCAGCGGTGCGTGTTGATTACGGCGGATCACCTTCACATGCTGCGAGATGTGTTCATCGTATTTGTCTTGAGTTTTGAAGCCTCGGTCACAGGTGTCACAGAAATGACTGAACCCAGGCTCTTTCTGCTGCTTCTGCTCAAACGAACACATGAAACCTCACTTCACATCAAACATGACTGCAGATCAACACTCATAGAAGATCAGTGTCTGGATTTACCTTTCCACCCCAGTGATGCTGCGCTGAACCCCGCCAGCCATGATGAGGAGGCTGAGGATGGTGATGATGAAGATGACCTGATAGAAATGACATGAGGTCAAAGAAATTATTATAAAACTCACTGTTTCATACTATCAACTATATCAACAATGAACTAAACACGAGCATACTAACTGAACAGTTAACCAGGTATATGATACTAACAGAACAGTTAACCGGATACATGATATTAAATGAACAGTTAACCGTTTAAATGATATTAACTAACCGATTAGATTACTGGGTACATGATACTAACTAACTGAACAGTTAACCGTTTACATTATATTAAC